CGCTTAACTCACAAACACGGCGCACGTTTATATACTTAAAAATAAATATAGGCCACACAAAGGGAAGAAACGTTTGAGGAACAAGTGAAAGGTCTCGGAGCACAGCTCAAAGAGGTATAAGTTCAATACATATTTAATACACTTCATAATTATTATATAATGTTCATTCTACATTATTCTCGTATATTTATCATTAAATAATTAATTACCTATGTGTCTTTCTCTACTCTCCTTGCGCCGATTGCCATAACTCATTTTCGACTTAATATTGAAGCTCTGCTGAGTACGACACGGAACAACTTTTTTATCACGACTGTTCGTGTATATTATGTGGTTACGGTAATATGTAAAGAAGTTCGATTGTTATTTTGAAGTTTTCGTTTGGATTCCACGTGTACGAGTACGATGTGTGATAATTTATTCGTTGTACACGATAGACACATATTAATATACTATAATTATTATTTGTTAATAACGCACATCTCGATGCTTTCAACGCGTTCACAGTTTTCACACTTTTTTTCGCACATGCCGTCCGTCAATCGTCATATACATAAATTAATATTAATAATTTTAAATTTGACCTTTTTTTTGCAGTTCATAACACCGTGTTTCATTAACAATATGATTGTTTTATTTAAATTAATCAATTAAATTTCTAATTTATGATACCGCATGGTTTTTCTTCTGTGTGTAATGCATACAGAGTGTTACGAGAATTTGATATTTTCAATGTAATTTGTATATAAGTGTCAAACCGTCAAATCCTCGGGATACACTCTGTATACACTTATTATTTACTTGTTGTGTTTATTAGTTAAAAAAAATCAAAACAAAACTGTAAATATTTAACAGACATTAATCGACACTCGATTTTTTTTCACTTTTAGGCTGAGGCTCGTGCTGAATTCGCCGAGAGATCGGTGCAGAAATTGCAGAAGGAAGTCGACAGGCTCGAAGGTGAGTTTTACGTTTCCCTCGTAGATTATTATATATTTTCAAAAATACTATTATATCGGTTTACAGTCTTGGGATCGATAATTTATTATAATAATATCTATACAAGAAATATGAGCAATATTTAAACGCATAGTGTGTCTCATAATTATGGTATACCTAATATCCCGCGTGGCGTATACAGTAATACGCAGGGGTATTAATTTTGTTTTTTGGGCCTTGACGTCTTATTTGTGCAGATAATATAACATACAGGGTCATCTGAATTTTGGGTTAAAACACTGGCGGGGGTTCTCTTTACACGTCAATGAGATTCCTCGGCCCCCGCCAATTTTAAGTGCACTATGCATCATAGTGTACAAGACGTTTAGTCTTCTGTAGTGCACAAAATACTTTCAGCATGATCTAAGACCATTGACGTTTCAATGTCACAACGGGGAGGCAGGTGCATGGTAAACAATCGAGAAATATACCTACTAAAAAAAAAAAAATATATGAATAAATAAAATGTGTTTTTTCGTGTTTGAGATTGTTTTCTAATATCGTGTGTTGTCCGAAGAGCCAAGTGTTTCTAATCAAATAACGCCGATTAATCGATACTCTTTTGTGTCTATATTACACAATTACCGTAATAATACGATGATGGTCTGCACTCTTCGCGTGCGAATGTTTATAATAATAATCCAATATAAAATGTCTGACGAACTCGTAGATACACATCATCATCATCATCCTCGGTGGCGCCGAACGTGACGTCTAATATTGTCTCAAATGGCAATGTAAATGTTATTAGAGCGACATTATGATATGTAATAATATGTATACTGTCTACCTTTAAACGTTTACATATTTACCCGTACTCGTGTGGTGTACATTTCACCTAAAATTTGATTTTTTTATTTAGATTTGGTGGGGTCAGGGTTAACATTTTCCAATGTCCTAGCTATCTAAATTTACACTTCGACGCCACCCCGAATTTGTCATCCTTGATTCTGTATTTAACATCATATTATTATATACATGTCTGATGTTTTCGCACGTAGAGTTTTATTATTTGTTTGTTACTAAATATTATCTCTAGTAGTCTAGTGACTTGTATTTAGATATTGTTTTTATTTTTCATTTTTAAATTTTCACTTGTTTGTGCATGTTAGCTAAATGTTTTGTTTTCATGTGTGACGCGCGTGTGTGTTTTGCTGTGGACCTGACGCAACACAGACGACTTAACTGGCGAAAAGGAAAAGAACAAACATCTGCAAGAGGAAATGGAGGCCACCCTGCACGACATTCAAAACATGTAAAATAACATACCGTCCCGCGTTTTCCTTCCCCGTCCCTTCTTAGCAAATTTCCTACTCCTTATTAAAAATTATCTAATATTATTATTTAATTTTTTAAACAATTTTTTTATACTTTTACACTCGTTATATTTATGTTTTGTTTAACATTTCCGCACTCCATACTAACTTCGTTATTGCACAGGTTTGACTATACACAGTTTAATAATAATTCACTTATATTTTATATTATAATTTATAATTTAATTCTTTTCTTTCTTCTTCTCCTTCTTCTATCACTTAACTACGTACTAACCTTATAAACAACTATATTATTATATACTACTAAGTACTAACGCCCATAATATTCAAATGTTTATATTTAATATTTATGCATCATGTTGAAGAAAACTACGCTCGAATAAAATGGTCTTTCGCTGGGGAATTTAAAATCATTTTTATGGCATAGGTATAGTATGATGGGGGAGACATTTCAAATCGCAATAAACATTTTCTTCGTGTGCGACCGTTATTGAATATTCGGAAGGCGATACAATATGTACTAATATTATGTATGTCCATTCATCTTATAATAATTTCGGGTACGATATTACCGCACATCGTGAAACCTTAAAACAATAGGAACCGTATTCAATTGCGAACATATTCTCTATAACAATACACCTTGACGTTAACGGACTGTTATACAGTCTCAATTACAGTGCATGCATATAGGTAGGTACGACGAGTGTAGGACTGCACATAATGGACATTTTACGATAATCATTCACACATCGTGCGTAACGCCTACATTCCTATACTAGAAATGTATCTTTATAAATCTACAATTTAAAATAATACAAAAAATTCGATTCTTTTGTTCGTTTTTCAACATTTCAAATTATTTATATGCAATAATCATATGGGTATTTGATGTATAGGTAATAATTTTAATGTAGACTTCGCATGATGGACCAACACTGCAGTAATAATTATTAAAATATGTTGGACATTTGTATTTGGTTTTGGGTAAAATTTGATTTTTGTTCTAATAGTGACTTCTTAGATACTATCGTTGTTAACACGTATACCTACTAATATTTCTACTTAATAATTTCCCTACTAAACACAAATCTATATGTGGCTAATGAACGTCCATAATAAGCGTGTATGATTATCGGACGGATTATTGTATTAACACGATTGATTTTCTTCCACGTGATTCCTTAGAAACCTTAGAAACCTTAGAAACCTTTAACACTATAATATATGTACCTATATAATTACTAATTTTTCCATTTTGATGGTGGATGTATTATTATTTATTATACTAAAAACCTGCTAACATCCTCTATATTTGCGAAACCGATCGACTACCATTCTATTCGGCTTTGTCGTCCTCTTATTTTCTATATATATACGGTTATGTGATTTGGGCTCTACGTATATATATATTTATACATATATATATATCTACACTTCCGCCGAGACACTGTCCTGTCCAAAAAATTTCTTTTCTCAAACCTGAGTCGGGTGCGAACGTTTTTACTGACCCGGTGGTAACCGATTTGCTTTTCAGATGAGTTGGTCGCCGAAAAGGAGAGATTCAGAGACATTGGCGACAGCTTGGACCTTGCGTTTGTCGACTTGTATGGCATCTAAACACAAAAAACACACATACACACACATAAACACACACACACACACAGACCTCCTTTCCCGACACACACGATTCCAAATTTTATCCATTTCCGTCGTCTCTGTCTCCGACCATACTCCAGCTCTACCGAATACCACACACTACATTCCCTTTATAAACAAAACACAAAACGAAACAATAAAACATAATTTTAATAATACAGTGCTACTAACACCGTGTCCACGCGTTAAACTTTTCGACACAGAACTTGTAACTTTAGTTTATTTTAGTAAATTACCTAAATTTTATTTTTATTTATTTATTTAATTTTTTTTTTTTGTTTTGCAATGTATTGTATTTCATAGCTTACTGATCTTACGATATTATTTCGGCTTTGTTTTTACGCTTGTAGAAAAATTGTACGGAACGCCGTAGGTGTGATCTTTGACTACCCCGAAGTGAATAATAAAAAATTGTAACTTTTATTTCTATGATATCTTTTATCTCCACTCGAGAGAAATCGTATAATGTCTATCGACACTTTGTACCGGCGTCACGCGTACCTAAAATGTTTTTTTTTGTTCTTCGGAAAACACGTCTGTTGAATATAATTAATTTTTATCCAAACGTTATTATTATTTATATATACGCTTAGTTTTTATTTATATAACATAAAAAAAACCATAACCCAATTTTTGTCTAACTGTATATGTCTATTAAAAAAAAAAAATGTATTTTTTGTGATTTATATAGAGCTTTGTATTGTTTTCGTTATTAGTCAAATAACCAACGATAAAAATATAAATGAAAAAACACAAATTCTGATATATCTCGGTATATACATAATATATATTACCTACGTCTTATTTGTATTGTACAGACGATTTATTTCATTAACACTTAGATCGTAATCACTGATAACTTATTTTACGAATTATTATTTATTATTATTAAAACATTTTTTTACATATATTTATTGTCATCCCAAGTGCTATATGTTTTACCAATAAAACAATGTAAAAGAAAAAAATATATTAAAGCGATTTTGGACAAAAAAATTGATTGCTTTGAACAATTCCGTTTTTGTTTTCTTTTGCAGACGAGTTGGTTCACGAGAAAGAGAAATACAAATACATTTGTGACGATCTTGACCAAACGTTCTCTGAACTTGTTGACTAACGCGTTCAGTATAACGGTGGCCATGATATTGATACGATATCGATGACTTAAATTATATTTATTATTTGTTGTGTTTTGCAATATTTTATCATCAGCATGTTGATTTGTATTCAGCCCATTTTTATCGAATTATTAATGACTTTTTTTTATAGGTATCAGAGAATTGCATCCAGTTTTTATTTTTTTTGTCCATGTAAATATTATAAATGTTAATTAATGCTAATACTGTTTGTTACCGCGAGCAACTGATGACGGGTTTACTTGTTCCGAACCCCGAGAGATTATATATTATAATATGATATACATAATAATTATACAGACACCCGTACCTACACACAGTTGAATGCGTTTTTGATTTAAATTTTACTTCACTGCACACTTATTATTATTGTTTTGCGTTTGATTTTGTATACGCATATCACCGCCATCGTGCATGCCTTGTATCTTCTGCCTGTCCTCATCCTCGCAATCCTTTCCTTTAAATACCTACAATTTACCTATAGTGTACCTGGGCCATTATTTTTATGATGATGTTCACCACTACGGCCACACACGATCCTCGTCGACGTCGTCAACAGTATCATAGTTATTATTATTATTATTATTATTGGTGAAAACGACTCGTTGAGAAACGGGATTGCAGGCGTGTAATCGTTTGGTTCACATTCTTATGTTGTTTTCAAAAAATGTGAACTGCGATTGGCGAGTAGGGTTGAATAGTCAATAGACTAAAGTTTTCTTAATCTCGATTTTCATCGATATGCCTCGACACTCGAGGCGGTGGTGGTGTGACTGAGTGGAAAACAGATATTTTTGATGCTCGTCGATGTCTATCCCGGCACGATATGGTATAAATTTGAACGTTACAATTAATGAGATTGTATACGGTGGAAAAACTGAAAACAATCACTATAGCAATATAGGTAATATCATGACACGTTGGTTGAAATCTCTGCTATGGAGACAACTACCCTGCACAACAGCAGGTGCTGCTATTTACCTAATATATTATTGAGTATATGTAGGGAACTGTAGTTTTGTTTTTTTGGTAAAGTTACAATAGTAAATTAGTTGACGATGCTTAGTCGGAGGGAAAATAATACTTGTGCCTCTTAAATTTTGTCATGGACTAGGATTTCGGTACAAAAACACGTAGGTACCTCCTATTATATTACAGTCAACGCAGATATAAGTACCTACTTGTACCTACATCGACGAGGGCCTGCACGCGTACTCCATTATATTTTTTGTCCGAGAAAATTGTTTGCTATTAGGTTATAGGTATAAAAAAAAAAATTGGAGTTTTACCTCAAATATGCACGGACATCAGTAGACATCAAGACTATGCATATTATAATATATATAATCGATACACCTACTACACGAGCGCTATATAAAAGTCGACCTTAATAGAAAAAAAAACTTTAATAACTTCCGAGCACGAAATCGGGTGTGCGTGGTCGTCGTAGGTACTCTTGTAATAAGCTATACACTACGAGAAAACAAAAATTACAGGAAATAGGTATAGGTATGTTAAGCGGTAATAACTAAGAAGATGGCTGCATAGTGTATCATCGACGGTGCTTTATAATAATTTTAATTCCGGGTCAACTCGCCCATTTATAAAATATGAATTCAGTACATATAAGCTATGAGCAAAAACAATAATAATATACCCACCTGTAACAATAATAAAATATTTTCCGAAAACGTTTCTTACCAGTTATTGATGAATGATAATCAATTATAATTTAAAATATTCTTTTCTTAGTCATTACATTTTATTAAGAGGACTCTATATCATCCGCATGTGTGATCTCCATCTTAAAAATGTAAGACATAGGAAAAAATGATTAGCTCGGGAAAGAAGCGAAAAGCTTACAATCATAACTAAGAAACGAAATTTTCATCACAAAAAGGAAAACTCTGGCTGTAAAATATCATAAATAGGTGGATAACTCTGCAGGAGTCAGAAATGTTCATTTCGAATATCGATTTATATACTTGTCCATTTACTCAATATGGCTATTTTTAATACAATAAGGATTTAAAATTATTATTTATAATTACTCATGGTCACATTCATATATTATGAATGTGATGATTTTATGGGATTCTTCTATAAGCATTACCTACGGGCTATGATTAATGTCGATACAATAATATGGAGGTAATATAATAGGTACCTTCCGATTTGGACCATGTAAAGATATTATATACATCAAATACTCGTGCAGGCGTGCGCAACTGGTTGTGGCAGAGTGGGTCAAGCCAATGAAACTCGAAAAAAATGAATTTAGGTGATAAAAAATTACTTTCATTTACTCATCGGTCATCACCCACTAGTCACTACTTATAAGGTATAAATATATTCATTGATGCGATTGATAACAAAAACATGTTATTTCTTATTCAAGCTATAATGGGATTAAAGATTAAGTGATAAAAAATAGGGAGGGGGGACATCGCAAAATAAGCTATATATAATAGATAGACTGCTCCTCCGTTAGGTACAGATTATATAATCCCCCATCAATACCCAATTTAAGAATTTCATTTTTCTAGATAATTATTAGGTAGTTATTATTAATTGGTTTCGTGGTATAAAAATAGCAAACATCACAATTATTATATCACAGAAATGCAGAAGAAGACGATACTACTATGTATATGATGTAACTATAATGTAAGTCACAATCTGTAACAAGTATTCGGTAATAGTCATAGGGTGGGCCATGGCCCACCTGGAAACCCCTATGCCTATACTGATACTATCATAATATCAAGCTTAGGTACCGTTCCAAAGTGGGGTAGATGGGACAAGTGCCCTTTTGGGGAGCAGAAGTTGTAATTTTAAAGGGTTGCAAATGTTTAAATATTATGTATGTTTAATAGGGGCACCAATGAAAATTGGCACGGCACTGTAGCGTGTAAGTACTACTTAAAGTATGACTGAACTTATTTTGAATGGATTTGTCGTCATATAGGGACTTATAGTCAATATTGCAATCTACAGATCCTTCACTACATACCTAAATATTGTCTCCTGCAGTATCTATGTGTATTGTTTTGTATTACCTATATTTTTTTTATCTGCCTATATTATAGAGGCAAGAGGCATGCCTGGGTTATATAATAATATATTTTCTGAAAACGTATCAACAATTCAAATTATCATCATCTGAAACGATCGAACGATATCATAATAGAGACCTAGGTTTTTTTTTGATTGGCATTAATTTTTTTTCTCCTAATATGTAACCAAATTTTATTTTTGATTCCTTACATAAACTGCAGACAAAAGTTGATTTCGCCATGTCCATGTACGGATATGACCCGATACCTGCACGGTGCACATATTATTACCTATATCAGCCGTGAAAGTGAATTACTTAACATTTTAATATAGCTCAACAGTTGCCATACTTAGGTCCGTCTATATCGATAGGCAATGACAGTTTAATTATGTATAATAGGTAGGTAGGTACCTATATTATAATATAGACACCAATCGTGCCCATATAAGTAGAATACTGTTTTGTGGTAAGTACCTACCTATATATGGATACATTATGAGAACTGACGTTATGCTTTGGTATTCACGCATTAGGTCAATTTGTAAGTGTTCGCTGGGGCTTAAGTAGTCTATATCTAAGATGCCGCGTTGATATCTTTTAACATAAGAAACTATATGCCTATTAGGCATATGTCTATTCATCTACATTCTACAACATAACTGCCCGTTTAAATTAAATTACATTAAGTGTAGTACTTATATTGTAAGTTATACTTTACATTGTACCTATTTATTTACCTTCCAAGCTACTTTATTTTCTACAGTTGTGGCTTGGGCGATGCGCTAGTAGATATATATGCTGTATTCACAATTTGCAAAAACATTACCTAAATATCGCCCAAGTCGAAATCGTTTGTGTTATGTCTCTCTTGCTTCAGATGTCCACTAATCAGTCACTGCGTCTTATATGACTATATATATAATATACACTATTCGGGCATACGGACACGTGAATGAAATATTTTATTCTGTGGCGCCTACCTACGATTTAATCTAAATTCTAAATTGTGACTATCGTCGTCATACCTACCTGAGTTTCACACTTTGCAAAAATTCCTAAGACGAACCGCAAAACATTACATACACAAATCTGCATCAGAAATTCAAAATTGCAGTGTGTCTGTACCCACGGTTATAAAGGAATAATTTATGGCGCAGACCGCTGTTCGATAAGAAAACCTAGATCGTGTGTCGTAAATGTAGACACACCTACCTACACAGGGGCGGACTGGGGCAACATTTTGGCCCGGGAAATCTATATTTTGACCCGGCCCTTGCCATTTATAAACATCACAAAAATGTAAAAACTTAAATATACCAACGTTTTATTCAATGAGGAATGCAGCCTTTACACATTTTCAATTTTCCCAGAAAACAACTTAAGATTTTTTTTTTTTTCATTAATTGTTTANCTTTTCAACAATATGCGAATCGACACATTGTTGTAATTGTTTTAATCGGTGAAGGTCGGTATATGATAAGGTGATAAAATTATCACCACATATTTTCTACACTACCTTTGTTTTGATTTGATGTTGGATCAATGTCTAAATTATTCAATCATTGGTTGATTTGAGGAAATGGGATCTGGGTCATCTACCATTTCATTGTCTTCAATGACACATTTTTTTTTTAATTTTACATAAAATCGGCACTACGCTTTGACATTTTAATAAAATAATAATACAATTATACAAGTGTCACGTTTGATGTTGATCATCGACAGTCACAGCGGCTGTGTGCGTATTGTATCGCACCTATATGTCAACTAACAAATTATCAATACACAATAAATATCGACCATAATAAAATAGATAGGTACTACAAGCAGCCGGACATTTTATTGCATCAAACAAGTTTAAATATTTGATTAGATTAGATTAGCTTTTTGACGGACGATAAAAATGGACACGGCGGTAACGCTATCGGAAAAACAATGCATTTTATCGGATGCCGAAAATAGATATAATAGAAAAAAATTCACCAGAGTCTATGGCCCCTTTCCCCCCACCCCTTGGATCCGCGCCTGGTTACCCATAGAAATAGAAAGTATTATATAATTCTTCTAATATCTATGCGACTATGCCTATACTCACTCCACTGCGTACCGCGGTATTTTTGGGGAAAGTGAGAGCTACAAGAGAGACAGACAATAACATGACTTTTATAAGGTTATGTTACAAAAATGTTTATAATCGTAGATAACAGACATAGATAATAGATACCTGCTTATCACTGGATTATATTATTAATGAAAAATTAAATTTTTTCAAATGAGTTATTTTATATCTATAATGTACAAATGTTTTAATGTTAAACATAAACGACTGTACACACTCACTACACGATAAATCTTTTAGTTTTTATCAAAAAAATTATCAATTTCTATTATCTATGGTAAAGCACCTTAAAACTTCAAATAATTTTTCAATTAATTCCCGCCCGATAAGGTTGTATGACCTATCCATTCTTCTATTATCTATGAGTATAGGCAAGACGTCCCATCCATGCTTCTATTATCTATACCAGTGGTTCTTAACCTTTCTCGAATGACGGAATTACATTTTATAATATTTTCGAGGAACACAGCCGCAAAATAAATTAGTAATATATACATTTTTAAATATATTGAACAATGCATGTAAAGCTTAAAACAGTTTGCATACATGTTAGTGTTGTCACTAAAAAATAATAAAATAATAAAGAAAGTTTAAAAAAAATTAAAAAATTTGAAATGGAATAATTTGTAAGAGATATTTGAACCTGACGACTTTTACAGATATTCTCAATATCCACCCGTATGTAGGATATTGCTACTCTCATTTCCTCTTCTATATTTGTCAGCGTATCCTGTTTCTTTGTCTTGATATTCGTCAATGTTGAAAATCCAAGCTCACACAAATAAGATGTTGAAAATCGTAATAAAATTGAAATTACTTTTCCAGAAATTGTTTTAAACTCGGTTTGAACGAAAATCCAAAATTCTTCTACTGTTATTATGGAAAATTTTATTTTGAGAGTTTGATCTGTTGTAAGCATTATGAAATCTTCCTCTTCTACTAACATAAATTCATAACTTGACGTGTTGATGGTAGAAAACGGATTTCGTATCCATTCATACTTTTCAATATTCAAGACAGGAAATTATTTCGTAATTTTTTTCTTCTAATAATGCTAAATGTTCTGTTACAATATGAATTATTTCATTGTTATTTTTTACTGAAGGAAACATGCAGTCTACTTTTTTTTGAATAATTAAACCAATAAACTATACATTATACTGTTATACATGTCCTATACTTTTGTGTTTTGGAAGTCCATAAAAGTCAAAATGTTAAGACAATTAAACTAAACATTTATTTTTTTGGAGGGAACACTTATACAAAGTCCACGGAACACCGGTTAAGAACCACTGATCTATACTATTACCACACATAATATTTTTTTTTTTTATTTGAAATAAACAATCTGTACAGTTTGCACAATAAGCTTATATGATAATAGTACATGATACGTGACAGGCGTGATTTAAGCAGCCACCCATTAGTGACTCTTGACTAATTGATTGATTATTTAATTAATTTTTACTATAATTACATAATTTTATATTTTTTTTTTTTTTGACAGACGTTAGACATTAAAGTTTTGTAATAGGTCGCGGCACCACTTTCTTTTTAGTCTGCGGTTTGGATTTCCAGGTAATGTAAGGATAGAAAGATCGTTTATGAGAGGGTTATGGTGTGAATGGAGTCGTTTGTGGAAACGAGTGTAAAAAATGCGTGCTTCCTCAACTATTGTTCTCACATGGAGATCGTTATGCAGAGTATAGTTAGAAATATAGGGTGGAGCATTTGATAATCGTCGAAGTGATATATTTTGGAACGTTTGAATTCTATTAGTGTTAGATATTTTTGCTGAACCCCATAGTTGTAGTCCATACGTCCAGATTGGTTTAAGAAGCGCTTTGTAGATTGTAAGTTTGGTATTTAGAGTGGAGAACTTATTTTTAGTTAAAAGAGGTCTAAGCATACGTAAACGATTATTTAAGGTTATTCTTTTGGTTTGAAGGTGTTTCTTCCATGTCAATCTTTTATCAAGGATTAATCCTAAGTATTTGGCTGTGTCAGAAGTGGGAATGGGTACGTTGTTAAGGGTAATGTTTGGGCACGTTCCTTGTTTGAGTGTGAATGTTGTGTGCTAAGATTTATTTTGGTTAATTTTAACTCGCCATTTGGCATACCACTCAGACGAACCAAAACCTAAATCTATTTTTAAACCCAAATGTAAAAAATTTTTCATACACGCGCGTAATGATAATATAAAAATATAAAATATTCATCATTTGAATTTATACCTATTGGCTATTTTATTTTAAGTAATAAGTAATGTAATAATAACAAATTATTTTTGAACAGTGGCCCACCGGGAAAGTTCCCGGTTTCCCGCCGGCCCAGTCCGCCCCTGTAGGTACCTACATCTCACCACAAGAATTTGAGTTGACTGATGGGTTAATTTTGAACTCTATATTGGCACTTGACTATATATATCATTTCAATGGGTGTTTCAGTATTTGTATACGCAGTCATAACCTACCATAGTCAAAGAGTTGAGTACGAGGTGCACTTATATAGGTTGTAGTTGAAAGTTTATTTATTGTTTTTAAAAGGTGACCGAAAGTCAGGTCGTTACTCCTCGTTAAAAAATAAAAAAAATACCCACTAAATTAATTTTCTTGTAATGCATACCTGTGGTACCTAATAGAAAACAAAAGTGGGTAACGTTACGTCAATAGGTACCTCACATAGGTAGGTACCTATTATACTTATATTTATCGTATTAAACCTTAAAACAAATATAGGAATTAGGTATTTATAAAATTCTTCTTCTATATTATGTTTGTTGCTTAGTCTTGAGTACCTATATAAGTCGACATGAAGCACTCGACCGATTTTGACGAAAATTTCAAAGATTGTTCTTAGAGATATCAGGCAAGTTTACGGAGTACGGTTTGTACCACGTTCGAAAATATAACCAAATAGCTATAATATCCGACCTAATAGGTAGGTATACTATAAAAACGTATTTTCCTGGGAAAAGTTGGGTTATATACAGCTAGTATAGGAGTATCCATCTTAAACATTTACATTAGAAATTAGTAAGTGGCCAGGTAAGTACCAACAAAGTTTAATAGGTTAGAAACTTATCGTTACCTATACGAGAATCTCGTACAAGTTTCCATTTAGATGCCTTGAGTTTTCGAAACAATTTATTAGGTATCCGATTAATAATTTATAGTAGAAGAGGGCAGGTTGGTTGATACACAATACAGGTCATTGCAGAATAGGTGTGACACAATGCTGTGTGGTATTGTTAAGAGGAAACAGGTGACCGTGTTGTAAACAAGATGTTTAACCAATAACAAGATAACACTGATAGTTGTAGGTACTACCCAGTGGCGTGTATCATAAAAAAAATAGGTGTTGCTCTAATAATTGTTGGTGACCTACCCCTCATTATACTGTTATACCGACCTATAAAATGCCCTATTTTTCTTTTATCAATACACACTCACCCATATTTAAGGTGTTGCCTTAGCAATACTTGGACCCTATGTTACACGCCACTGGTACTACCTACTTTGATTTAGTTATTATACTTTTAATGCGTTAACAATAGGTAAGGTTAAGCAGTGACATAACTATAGGGGGAGGGGTGGGGGTACCAGGGAGTGCTTAACCCCCCCCAAGATTTGAACTTAAGTTGTGTCACTGAGGTTGAGAAGGTACCTACTGGTTAGACGCAAACTCGAAGACAGAGAGAGACACTCGGACCGCAAGTCCGGGCTGATTCGAAATTGGCCAGTCCTTACTAAATTCTTAAAAAAATATGACAAGCTCAAATAAATTAAAAGACCTTTTAGCTTAATTTCTATGCGATTTAAAATTTTTTTTATCTATTCCTAACTCCTAAGTATTTTATGATAAAAAAAATAATAAAGTGCCATCAGAATTTGTCGTCAGGACTTCGTTTTGAAGTATTGAAATATCGTGGCATAATGAGTAAAGACAATTCATGGTAATCCTTGCCGGGTGTATATGTGCTTTTAATCATTTTGTTTTAACCCCGAGCCTACCCCAAGGTGGTTTTACATAACAAGTTAGGGATGTTTCTGATTTTAATAGCCCGATCGAGTGACAGGTATCAAATAAGTAGGTATGTGCTTTTTATAATTTAAAAAAAAGTTCACTTGAGAGCTGAACTAGAATAAATTGATGCCATCAGTTAGGCTATTTAAGAACCAGTAGGTAGGAAATAATATATTTCAGGTAGTGCCGGCTTGATGAATATTGGGGCTTTGAGCGAAATATTTTTGAGGGGACCTATACAATAGTGGCCAATGAGTGTTCCTTTGAGGTCTCAGAAATAGTCCGATTTTAAGCATATAGATGAATCTGAATCATTAGATAAATACACGAACTGTGGACCGGATAATTTATTTTGACAACAGGCTGTGTGGCCTTTCGATGTGCGGCCCCCTCAACACCAAGTGCACAGATTGCACGGTCGGCCCTGAATTTTTAATCAATTACAATTAACCAATAATGTATTATTAAAGATACTATATATACAAGGGGGATTAGCAAGCTTGGTGAGTCATAATGTATATATTGAGTGGTCGATTAACAAAGTCTGTTTAGCCATGAGTTTTTACAAATACTAACAAAAGCTGATTTGTTTATGCCTTTAATAACTATCATAACATGCATGTGACTAACAGATTATTTATTTATTTTAGAAAAACTTGACACTGCCAAGCAAGAGTATCGAGTTATTGCTGACCAAATCGGCCAGTCATATGATTTAGCAGCATATTAATCAAATAAAACAGTAACGCTTAATAATCATTAATATTCGTATTTTTTTTATTTTTAGTCAAGTATCAGTATTGAAAAACAAAACAAATAGCTTTCATAAAAATTTTCACATTATTTTGTGATTTATATACTTCAAAAATAATGCTTTCGAGTTATTATATTGCATAAAAATAAAACAATTTTTTAACATAAGGATCACCATGTTTTTTTAAAAATACTTTGCTACAAATATATTATTATTAATAAGAATGTTATAAACTTGTAAACGTGTTTATATTTAATAATTAAATTTCAAGTGTTAACATATACCAATATTCTGGTTTGTTATAATTTAAACATAAACAATAGTATATTATGTTCTTAACAGTACGCTAATGTAAATATTTGAAGATAAAAACAAAATATTATAATTAAAATTAAAATACAATAGTTTGTGTATATTATGTTCTTCAATATAAAAACAATAAATATTTTTTGCACATTAGTTAATATATACAATTGTGCAGACAATACAATTTATGTCTATTCAAAAAATCAAAGATTTTGAAATTTTATGTAATAGTAGCTTTTTGATTATACATTTTATTTTTTAATAAAAATATTAATTTAAGAAACAAATTGTGTATTTTATTGAAATATAGTATTAACTACTTTATATTAAATTATAATACAAATTTGAAAATAATTTGTTTAAATTCACAAATGTTTATCTAAAATTTTTTTACATATAATACTGACACAATATAAATATAAGTAACAAACTATACATACAAGAAGATAAATTTAAAAAAAATTAAACAGTTAGTTGATTAAAAAGTTTAAAAAACATGGTTAAAAAATAATTGGAAGTTTGTTGTTTATAGTTCTTGTTAGTTTGGTAACTGTGCGTGTATTGGGGGTCATTCTTGGTGTTGTACGTAATGGCGTTTTAGGTGTGGTTGGTATTGGAATTTGAGATCCTTTAACGGGAGTCTTCATTAATAATTTCCTTGGTGTAGTAAATGTTGTGTTTGGTTCCCTTAATACATTTTTAGTAGTTGGACTGGTAAACAATCTATGTTTTTTGGATTCAAGATGTTCCTAAAATAAAACAAATAGTATTTAGTTACGATCTTTATTTATAAAGCATAGAAAGCCATTTTTGCTATAGATAACTATGGGATACAACACATTTATAGTAAAACATGCAATTAGAGTCAAATGGCTGAAAACTGTTAATTGTATGTAATATTAATGAACAGTACATAATACAAGGCAAATTTTATAAGCATAATGAACCAATTTTACGAAATTGCTCATAAAAAAATAATAACAACATAATATACAAACAAATTTATTTTACATAAACATTACATTATATTTGTATACCAATTTTTTAACATTGAAATAAAAAAAAAATAAGAACTATTTAAGTTAAATTATTAAACTAAAATATAAGATTAAATATTGGCATATTTGTTTTTCACTGTTGTTAATTAGTAAAATATGTGAAATTCTGATTGTATATTGAAAAACAAATTATGTCCATCTTTTAATTTTAGATCATTTGACTAGTTGTACTACTATAGTAGTTGAGTACCACATTTTCTTAGGTTATATCAATGTTTGTGGTAGTTATGACTTTATCATTATTGGTTAGTCAATAAAAATTAAATTACTCTAGTATTCATAAAAACAGTTATATCATTACTTCTGAGAAAATTGAAATAAAATGAAAATTTGTATTAAGAATATTTACATTTTTAAAAAAAATCAATTAAGCTGATTTGCTGAAATGAAATAAAGCGATAGAAATTATATTCACACACAAAGAAGTAATTACGTGTGGAACGCATTATCTCACGTAATTCAAACCTGGAAGGTTGCATAAGATTCAACAGATCCATTTTCATCATTGGTTCCATGGAAGGTTGGATGCTGTCTTGTTGTAGTAAGATTTACTTCATTTAGTTTAGTTGAGTTTAATGGAACTAATGTAGCTACATTAGTATTCTGCAAATTAAATAATTGTCTTCTTGGGGTAATCTAAAAATAAATAAACGGATAAAATTTAGTATTATTGTTAATGTGTAGTATAAAACAATTAATTGTACTTACACTAGGTAGAACCTCGTTTATTTGACATAGCTATGACAATAATGCGACTCAGTATAAAACATGTTGGAAATTATCAATAACATTGATAAATAATTTTGATTCACTGCACTTTTTATTTCAAAAATTAAAAACTAACTTTAATAGACGCCCGTTATTTATTATATTATTAAAGTCAGATAAATAGGTAAGTCTGATAAACGAGGTCTAACTATATGCTACAGGAATAATATAATTGTCTTTAGTTACAGATAGAATATAATCAAGGTGAATAAAAAAATAAATTTAAGTTTCAATTCAGAAAAAATGAATTTGAATCAAACATTTCTATATACAATTAATTGTTTGAGCATTATTTTGTTACCACAGCTTTATGGTCCATGCCGATTTTACGGACCTTAGAAGCTTGGTTGCTTGAAGTACCGACTATCTTCCTTTTACTGCGAGTAGCTGTCAGTGGTGTTTGAGGCTTTGTTCCAGCTTGTATCTTGGACTAAAAAATTGCACGATTATTGTATATTATAGTATACACATATTGTTTAAAAAAATATAATACATACCTTTGTTTGTTGTAAAATTTTTTTATTGCTTTTTAATTCATCCCACTGCTTTTCAATAAAATCAAATAATCTTTCATCTCTATAGTAAAATATTTTATTTTCTCTTTGTTCATATGATAGCAATTGGTTTTTTAGTTCTCTTTCTACTTTTGGTAGTTCCTAAGAATATAATGTTTTATTTAGTGTCTTAAAAAAGCTTTTTGCATATATTACAAATATAGTTTAATTGTTGAATATTGATAAAATAAAATGAATGTGAATTTAAATAAAATGTACTTTTTGTATAATTTTTCTTTCCTTTTCTTCTTTTAATAACTGACCACCTCTGTTTTGCCAAAGTCTTGCTGGATCATTAGCTTGTTCTTGCATCATAATCATCTTATTCCATAAATGTTCTCTTTCTTCAAATAAACGATAAATTGAACTAAAAACAAACAATAATAATTAAACATTTTAAATTTTTGCAGAATAATTATTCTCCATTAAAGACAATTTTTCAACTTTTTTATATACTCTTACATGTTATCATTATAGAATTTTTTAGCATTATCAACTTCAATGTCTAATAAATCCATTACATCCTCATTGTACTCAGTGCTATAATACACATGACACTGTTTTCGTTGACGGTCACCGAAATGACATCTGTCCCATAAGTCATTTAATTCACTACGTAATTTTTCGATAAATTGTTTGATATTTTCCTTTTTTAAGGTCTCACATCTTTCAACTTCTAACTTAAGCTAAAAAAGAAAAATAATTGCATTAAATATAGTTTTTTATAGAAGGTAAATATAAAAATAGTACAAAACTCTATATAGGTACCTCTTGTATAACTGTTTTGCCAAATCCTTTTTTTGTACTCACAAAATGTTCTCTATAAGTAACATCAATTTGTAAGCGATCCCACAATGAATTTAATTTGGTTCTTAATTCCATAGCCATACATTTTTGATTTTCTGTTTGATTTTCCAAGCGTTTAATTAATTTCTGTTTATAATAAATAAAAATAGTTAATAAATCTTAATACAATTATAATATTAACTGTACTTGAAGTTCATCCAAGTTTGATTTTGACAAAAGAAACTGGTCTGTATCCTCCAACACCATTTTATCAAATTGTAAGATTGGTATTTCTCCCAAATCTGCCATTAACGATTGAACTTTAGATTTTTGTTCCAAAAATGTAGACCGACGTTTAATCTAAATATCAAGTAAATCGTACAATAAAATATTGCTGCGGTATTAAAAATATAAAATAATAACAGTACTTGAGTATTTTTTAAATCAATAATATGACTTTTGATATTTTCCAGTAGTGTTGCAGAAGGCATATCTTTAATGCCCGAGTATTTAGGCTTTTCATTCAGTAATTGACAAATTTGTTTTTCCTATTAAAAGAAAACAAACACACATTACAAGTATAAAGTAAGAGTGTTTAAAGTAATAAGTTTAAATTACTTCGTCTTGAAGTTTATTAAGTTCTGTCATACGCTGTTCTTTTATTTTTCTACATTCTTGCAAAGATTTATCAATATTGATTTGAACATCAATTAATGGAGTAGCATCATTGTGGTCATCAATTGAAATATGCATTTGTAGTTCCTAAATTAATAAGTAATATATTAAGACATCCAAAGTGTCAACACAGAAATTACTTTAAAAAAAAAGTTGATGTCAACTATACTAGACATGAGACTATAATATTGTTTATATAAATAGATATGGTTTCCTGACACGAGTTTTTTTTTCTAAGAAAATTATAAAACTAACCTTTTCTAAAAGTTCCTTTTCTACTAACAGTTCCTCAATATCTTTTATAATATTATTTTTGTCTCTGTCAGATTCCAATACAACTTCATCTAAAAATGACTGTATAATGAAACAATTAAATGAGAGAAATGTAATATAATTCCATTGATAATACTTTCATTAATACTTACAGTTACATGAGCTTTCAAATGTTCATGAAGTTGGTTTATACCATTTTTTTTTTCATCTGAATAAGTTCCATAAATAACATCTAGATTGCGTTGTACTTTTAGGATTTCTTTTTTTGCATGTGCACAAATTTCATCCAATATAAGTTGTATTTTATCTGCATCTGGCCTATAGAACAAATACAATTTTTAAATTCAGGCGATGATGAGGTTTAAAATATAATGTTACCCCAATAATTTGAAGAAATTACATTAATACTTATTTCAAATTTTAAAGATATTATAAGTTATTATTATTTTGAGAATAAAGCCTTCAAGGAATTACAATTGTTGTGTTACTTTGACCTTAGATTAACCATACAATTTGATGATAAAAATATATTGTTGGAGTAGTAAGAAGGTAAGGTAAGGTTTGATTATTTGATTATTGATCAATCTAAATTGTTACTCCTTAGGTCTTACATTTTTACACTTAAATTGTAAATTTTATTTTTGCTATTGTTTGTTATATTAAGAAAAATAAATTCATAAAGGTACCTAATTCAACATTATTATCAATTAAATATAACACAAACATTTTATTTTTTGAATCGAGACCTATATTTACCCAGATTACATGACTTAAAATTGTATTTATTATTATATACTTTGTTTGTTTAAATAATTATACAGGTACCTACCTAATCCTAACCTGGGTAGGTAGTAACAATTTTATTTTTATGAAAATAAATCAAAACTAAATAGGTATGTTAAATGTATAATAAATTACTTGATAAATTACATGCGTGGAGAAGAATATTATTATAAAATAACTGAATGTGGTTGTATATTTAAAACTAGTAATTTATTTTTCAATTTACATTTAAAAATCAGGGTAGAAATAATATACATTTCAATTTGATTTTAGTGAAATAAGAATAAATAAACTTAGCAATTATCTCATATATTAATAAACTCACCCCATAGAGGAATCCATTTTGTGTAGAAAGCTCGAGCTGGAACAATGGACAATACATAAGTAAAAGGTTAATTACCTATAAATAAATACTGTTAAACTAAGACAAATAAGGTGATTTATATAAGTTCAAATTCTTCACTAGTAAATATTATACATTTTAAAGAGCCATTTTGGCTTTAATCATAACCATTGCCTGGATAGATTAAAGTTAACCAGTTTAATATATTTGTACCCTAGTTGAATACCCGAAACACCACTTATCACTGTTGAGGGTCAACTATGTACAATGGTAAGACAATATATAATTAATTTTTTTATACGGAATTGGACTAATTAACTGAACTTCAGTAATAAAGGGTATCTATTATTTATAGGCATTACCTGTAGAAAAATTATTTAATGGTATGTTTATTTTCCCTACGACCTGTTTGATATATCTAGTATTGCCACGGACTATTTTTAATTAGGAACCCACATAGTTTGTCTTATATTGGGTTTCGCATAAATAGGTTTTATTTAGTTTTTAAATACCCTAGGTAGCACTAGAAAAATGATACCGGTGACTATTTGATAACAATTTAATATTTATGACATAACGCTTAGGTACTTACTTCCTACGGAATATGACAGAATTTTATATTTAATTATTCTTGTGGTCATCCAATTGGGAATGAGTATGATGTGATTCATATTGTTACTGTTTCGAGTACTTCCTTCATACACAAAGGTACGGAATACTTACTATCAAGTATAGGTATAGATATGAAAAAATAGTTGGTTGTAGGTATTACGATAAAGGGACATTATCAGTTTACAACCATGCAGAGAATCATCTCGCCTACAAAACGCAGTGTAAAATAAGACCTGTACGTTGAGGTACAATCTTCAGGATGAAATAAAACTGTTTAAAATATATTCAAGACGTAATCGTATGAAAGACCAGTTTGAGGAGCTAAGTTTAAAACAAAACGCGCAGGCTGCTGGGTAAATACCAAACAGAAGTTATTAATAAGCATCAGTCCTATAATTAATATAATGTTAGGAAAAATAAAAATGCCGACATTTTACGTGTCAATTACCGTAATGTTTTGCTGGTAAAGAGGTGTTGTGATACAAATCGTGCATCACGACTTTTGCGTCCCGTCGAAGAGCACATTTCTGGACGGGCATTTATTTTGCTAGTTATTTGTACTTACTCGTCTTTCATCGACGGCGATCCGAACATGATGGACGACATGCTTTCTATTTTCTCGACGGCGGTCAAATAAAACTGTTTGGCATCGGTGGTAGTGGTAAGTCAACCGGTTTTATTTTTATTACGGTCGCGAGCGTGTGTGTGAAGTTGTCGTTTAAATAATGATATGTCGAACGGCGGTTGAGCGTCAAAAAACGATCAAAACAACAGAAATTCAATCAACATTGACCCGAAGAACGGCGAATGGCGACGTACAGAATTCGAATGTCCGCGTACGTTGGCTTGGTGCTGGTGGTCGATGTTACGCCAGTGTTTGTATCGAGACGGTTATTTTTTTAACGGTTTTTGGTTCCACCGATCGCCGCGGACCGGTGTCGAGCGCTCCTATCGCGGTCGTCGGGCACGGACGACGGTCGACCGGACGCGAACACGGCGAGTACGGTGTATGCACTACGCAGTACGTAATAATATGTCGCACCATGATAATAATATAACCAAAGAACATAACAGTTATATACTTATATCGTGTGTCGCAAAAGGTGCATAATATATGTAGGTATGGCCGTGTGGTCGTATTGGACGAGCATGAATGCATTATATTATTTACAACATGGCAAAACCAGTCATTATTTATGTTTCATGCGCATAATATTCTTGGAATGATACAACAACACTGTCAGTATGCCCGGCTTTAACCGCGTCAAGCCGCAAAGCGGTGACCGTGGTTGAATATGTGATGACTTTACGAGTTCCGACTGTTCCGAGTTTACGACCATGGTCATAATGTCTACGAATTTTAAATGCTCATACATTTTGAAATTTCAAATACTGCCTATATTATATTATTATTTTGTATTTATTATACCTACGGCATACCAAAGGTACATACGCAGGGCGAATTTAATATTTGTACTTATTTATGATGCACCTGTGGCTGTGGCCATAGCCCACAGGCTTAATATTATAAATTATAATGAGTGTATTAGTTGTTGACGAATTCAATTTTGTTTTATTTCTGTAGTTCCAAAACGAATAACTGCTGAGCGTTGAAATTATCACCAAATATTCGCGATAGCAATTACTAGAAATTGTATAATAGGTATGTTCAAAATATTTTGGTTAATTTTCTACATTTATTAGTTTTTTATGTTTGATAAAATAAATCTGTTAAAATCACTAAAGTATATCATATGTATATACTATATATTATATGTATAGTTTATTTATAATTTGGTAATGAAAATTCATAACATTTATAACTATAACACCTGCAGAATGGCTCAATGACATGAACAATTATTACAAGATTGAAGATACCCGATATTCGATAAGATTTTTCATTGAAATTAAATAAAAGTTTAGGGTAAAACCACATGAATTTTTTTCTAGCTATGGATTATTTTGAACTTTGGTTTTTCAGGACTTAAGTGAGTTTCCTATGTAACTTTTAAACCCTATATTGTTACGCCTATGGTAAAACGCCCTCTTAATATATAAATTATTATTACGTGTTAATTGTTACTTTTTAGAAATTGATCTCACTCAGCAATCACCTTTTAGCAGTCAACTTCAGAAAATCCAGCTATGATCCAGTCAAGAATTACAGTTCGTGTTAGACAAACAAATTAACAACGATTCAGTGATTGACGTAAATAATTTAATATTAGTTATCTAATGTGAATGAATAAAATATTTAAATATAGGTAGGTAATATACAAGAACAATAATAATTAATGATGCTATTGATATGATAGTTATTATGGTAGCTTTTGTATATTTATTTTACACACGACCATAAAAATAGCAGCGTAGGTAATTAATAAATATGTGCGTCAGGTGAAGACAAAACTATAAAATGCTATAGTTACGTAATTTAATTTAGCACATAAATGCATATTTTGGGGTTTATTTTTGTTTTTACAGCACACATCTCTCTCTCTCACACACATACTTTTTGATGTACATTACATAATTTTTAACTGGTTGCCATATTTTCTAAATTTCAAAAGATTGTTTCAACCATGAAATATAATATATTCATATTATATAGATAGACGTTTTTTAATTTAATTTTACAACACAGATTATTAAAATAATGCTCGCGTGTATATTTTTTGAAAAGCGCTGGAGGCTGAAATCAGTGACCAATTAGTTTTTACGCGGGTAACGAAAAACGCAGTTTCAAGAGGTAAATGTACTTTTGTATAGCTGCATGTTTGTAATTAATAATTAATTATGTCAAATTAGTCACATGTGAAAATTGTACATTTGCTATTTCTTAATAAAATATTATCAATATTATTCTAAGGAAATACATTTTATTATTTCAACACAGTAAATACATATTTTAATTATTATTTTATATATTTTGTATTCTGCTGATCTTTGAATAATAATATTATATTTCCAAAAAATATAACTAAACTAACTGCCTAAAAATAAATATTTAATTAAATAATTAATTATATTACCTGCATATTGATATAAATTACCTGTGTTAATAGACCGGCATCTTTCAGGTATACAAAAATAATAGTTTTATTAACACCTTTTTTTTGCAGATAAATTTACCGACGATGACATCATCAGTAACACTATTTTCTTGTTCTCCGCTGGTTTGGAAACCATTTGGTCTTTGCTATCTTTTTGCCTGTACGAATTGACGCTAAACAAAGAAATTCAAGACAAATTACGTGTGGAGATATGTTCGATGAAAGCAAAACACGATGGAGTGTTAAATAATGATTATTTGATGGACATACATTACACCAACATGCTATTAGAAGAAATTAAAATTATCGAGAATAATATTATTTTGTATGATCATTCAACTCCAAGGGCTTCGGTTGTTATATCTTGCCTCGTTTATACAATATGAAAGGACTATTTAAACATTTTAAATATTTCTTCTTCAGAGAATGTCATACTCGTGTCAAATAATTCCGTCTTACTAACACATAATATACCAATATTTACTTTGGCAGTTTTAATTTTATGTTGTTAGCGAAGCCTTGAATATTGGATTTTTACGATGTACTAATTCGTAAGTGAGTTATGAGTACATTCAGCAAAATATCGTAACAACCAACGAGGGTACACAGATAATATTCTAATAATTTACTATTTATAAAAACTGTTAATACGTCAAATGAAAGCTAATAACACAAAATAGTAACTGCTGAAAGTACATTTTAGTACGTTATGCGTTAAACGGAGTTGTAAGTTATATGCTAGTTACACAGAGACAACTTAATATGCGGCATGACTTTCTCTTAAAGTTTCAACAATTAGAGCAATACGTTATACATTATAGGAATAATACTGAGACAATATGCAATTCCGGGTTCTTTGTATTAATCATAAATGATCATTAGTGTGAGTATTAGAGTATGGTCTTACTCGTAGAACCAGGGCACATATTGCAGGCACGCACGTCGTGTCAACAGCACGCGTGAATAAAAAGAGTGAATTTTTGTATATAAGAAGTAGATCAGGATTAATTTCACCAAAGAACAGCGTTGTATTAAAATTTAGACCAATCATTGAGCATTAATCATAATTAGTTAGGTACTTATATATTATTTGTATTCCTGAATGATGATTCCTTATGATTAACTGTCATAATATATTATACAAATATTATTTATGTATTTGCAATAAAAAAAGCTTAAGAAGTAAAACTTTATATTGGTAAAACAAGACTGGACCGTATCGACTATCAATCCGTTCAATCACAGCTTTCTAGATTTTCAAACGTTCCCGCTTTCGAAACGACACCTCCAAAGCCTCTCATCACAAATCCTTATCACCTTCTCTGACTTTTGAGGTTCAACCTACCTACTGAAGCGACTTTCATAATTGCAACTACTCAGTGTCCATGGACCGAAATCCACTTTCAGCCCTCTCGGGGGGTCTGGGGGTCTCCCTCATCGACGCTCGGAGACCTAGTATATAAATAAAACATTTTATTTGGGGGATCTGAAATCCACCTCAGGTAGATTGCCTACCTAATAATATACTGCTCGCGTCATTACCAGCGAGTCTCATATATAGAGTTGGCATTTTTAAAGGGACAACGAAGTGCACGATATCAGCTAGTACATAAATATGAACATTTAAAAAATCAATTTTTTTTATAACATTAATAGAGAATTATTAACATACTGTTTTTTGAACTACTATTGCAATTATTTACAGAAACAATATAAAACGATATCAAAAATATTTTGACTTGTCTTGAGCTCTTAACTAACAATTTCAGTTTCATAAAATCTTATTTGTTGGGTCAAAAAGATTGAAATTTGAATACAATGCTCCTAATATATTGTTCTAATGACAGTTGAAAAATTTGAAAAAACATGGTCACAATATTTTTTATGAGCATTTTAATTTTAAATAACCTCAATTCAACCTTATTGTAGTACTAATAAGGTAAAACAGTAAAATGAATTACTTTAATCACATCTTCGTACAGCATCGTTGTTCGTATACAATGTTCTATATCATTGAATTAAAATGTAACACCTTCAGTGCAGATATTCTTTAGATACCTGATGTACTGCAGTAGAATGATATTCACTTACCCACTATTAAAGGATTATTCTATTTGTAATTTGGATATAAATTCCTAGAAAATCGATTTTCCGGGAAAACTGTTAGAACAGGAATTATAAAAAGCTCGTCGGAAATATTCACAGGCATTAAGTACTAATTAATAGTGTAAAGAAAATTACAAAATTCAGATTGTTCCGAGGGGGGGGGGGGTACGTCGATAATATTATAGTATGCCGTGCTGTCCATAGTTACTGTGTGCCTTGTATTAGATTTTAATTATTAGGTGTATAAATATTATATATTTATGAATTTTGAACTACAATATGATTTGAAAATATTTTTTTTTTCGAGTAACGAAATTCTTACTTTAAATGCTTACAAAAAAAAATGTGACTTTATTTCGGCTGTAGCCCATAAGCGCAAAATATGACCCAAACGCAACCCAAAAGCGCAAAAACAAATAACCCAAAAGCGCAAAAAAAATTACCTTTTTAATAACCCATAAGCGCAAATCAAATTTATAAAAAAAAGCATATTTAGTTAAAATTGTAGTTATTATTAATATTAAATTAAGCATAAACATTTTAACAGTGATATTAATTAGTTAAAAAAAATCAAAAAATCAGTAAAAAATAAAAATATAATTTTGAATATAATTTTAAATTATTTAAACAAGTATCAAAAAATCAAAAATCATTAATAAAAAATCAGTAAAAAATAGAAAATATAATTTTAAGTATTATTTTAACCTAACTTTAAACGCCTTAAATTTGAAACTTGAAACCTACTGTTTTCAAGTATTCCAATCAAGAAATTTTTTTTCTTTATACAAGGTCCGAGTTTTTGTATTGGAGATGACTTTAGATTTTCGATTCGTAGATTTTTGACCATTTGATTGTAATTTTAAATAAACTTCTGCTTGATGTTCTTTAATCACTTCAATAAAATTATAAATAGATGGGTGTAGGTTATAAAATTGATCTTTCAAATGACGGTGATATGATTCTGGACCATTGGTAGTCCTTGGCTCGTTCGAAGGTGGCTCAGCCCAGAGATGTAGTGGATATCTGCTGTCATTTTCAATAATATTCGCTAAAATATAATCTGAGAATGCTGATATCTTCTGATTGTCCGGAGCAATAGAAAATAGTTCATAAAATGCTTCAAAAATTTCAGTACGCGGTAAAAAAGCCAATCCAAAGAAATACTTTAACCAATGTGAAATTTCTGATTCATTTTGGCCGTATTCAATTTTAAGTTCCAATTTTGTAATTTGTCTATACCAGGCTTGCCCGAGATGAAACCGGCAACATTTAATTTGTGCATTTGGAAATATACGCAAAACGCCATTATGTACAGATAGTTCAAAATCCAGAAGTATATTTTGAGGTTTTAATTCTTTCTTACATAATGTTTTTATTAAATGCCACATTTTTTCATAAATATCAGTTGTTTAGGATGCTAACAGACAATATACAACTTGGACGTAAATTGATTTATGTAGAACATGAATCGTATAGAGTTGTTCAAAATGAGCGGGACAAACGTAAAATGTACCATCACATAAAATAGTATGACTATTATTGACTAAATATTCTAAATTACTGTTTGTCGTGAATATTACGATTTTCGACTCTTCATCTACATGGAAAAATGTTTAATTACGATGTGTAGTTAAACCATTGGATTTTAATTGTTGTATGAGTTCGAATAATGAAGTAGGTGCTGCGGGAATTATTTTTCGACGTTCTCTATACATGGATTTTCTTATACTAGACATATCGTTGTGTAATAGTTCTGTAGTTTCAACCGCCATCAGTTCACGACGAATAATTTTATTTGGTCGCTCCGAAATACATTCAGTCGCCTTTCGTTTGCTATTATTACGAACTATTTGTCGCTGAATATGCCGATTCTCCACAGTATTATGATTATGAGATATATTTTCATTTTACGTCAAAATATTAGATATTTTAGAATTGGTTTGAATAGTAGAAGTACATTGTCTTACCGTACATCGCCAAGATATATCTCCGCTTGCCATTACTCGCTGATGTCTGTGCTTAAAATCATTGTACACAATACACAATACACCTTTATTTGTGTTAGTTAATGTAAATGACATTTTAATAATTAATTTTTGAAAACTTATAATTTTAATTTTAGTCAAAATCGGACACATAGACGCACGTGGCACGGTGGTAGCACAGACACCAACTGATATAGATGGATATCTGGTATATCGAATTTCAATTAAAAATAAAACGGCTCAATAAGTTATATAAGTCATATCTATAAAGGCACCTGTGACCTGTGTAATTGCAAAGCTATATAGTTATCAAAAATCCTATTTAATGTAAGTTTATACTGTATACACTATTATATATTATATTGTGTACTATAATTTATAGACTATAGTTATCTTAAATGATTATCAACTGCCATCGTAATGTGTAACGATAAGATACAGACAAATGCAATAACCGTCGCGATGCGTTGCTGCAATCTGTCGTGAAACGGATAAGGCCGCGTACCGGCGTACCTATACATGGAAAGCGTAGAGCATCACGCTTTAGGTCAGTAAAATATTGTATCAAACAATTCAATTTTCTTTTGCGTTTTTGAGTCATCGAAAAAAAGGTTGATTTGCGCTTTCGGGTTTCACCGTTAATTTCTGATACTTCTAATCAATAAATGAACAGCTATTATAATAATTATTAAACTAATAACCATTCAATTTTCAATCTTTTGGTCAAAGCAAATCGGTAGTTTTTTTGACATAATATTATATAAAAATGAATTGAAAAAATTGCAATATTATTTGTTCAACCAATGATTAAAGAGAGGTGCCCCATCAAAAAATTGTCCTATGTTTAAAAAAATAAGTATAAAAAAACAATAAAATTAATTTAAAGAAAAAAAGGAAGGGGTGAACGAGCGCCTGCAGGAAAATGCACTTTAAGAATAAAAAAAATTTTTTTTTAATTATCATTGGGAACACACTCCGAATATTGCAGTCTTCAACCTTCAAATACATAAACAGAAATGCTCTGTTGTACCGGTATGGTCGCAAGGGGATGGCAGTGTGGGGGGTGCTGGGATTAATCACCTCCCGGGTAACGCGGGAATAACAGAGGTTTAATTGGGACCCTTAGAATAAAAAGATATGTCGTTTCAGACGGTAAAGATTCATCATGTCGTTCACGGCCGCCCGCAGATCACGATTCATATTGTTACATATTACATTTAATCATTTAAATATTGGTTAGTGGTTACTTAAACGATAAACAAATTATTATATTACTATGAGACATTCCTTGCTCATGCGACGAACCGCTCGTTTTTGTTACCATATTTTTGAGGGCCACACACTACACGCTCCTTGCCGACCGCGATTGGATGACCGTGTTATTATATATTTATAATAGGTATTAAAATAGTGATCCGTCCGACGTTAGATTATAATATAATATCTCATATGCAGTAGGAAGTGCAATCGTGCATTATTTACGCTTAATCCTTTTCTGTGTATTACAACGCGCCTTAGGTAAAAGCGGATCCAAGTCCCTCACCGGCATAGGCGTAACTTGGACTCTATTCGCGTTGGGGCAAAAATAATTTTTGAGAATTTCTACATATTTTCATAATCTTATTTAAATTTAATATTTATTATAAAACTGTTTTATCATTTTTACCACCATCTTTCATTTAACTCATTTTGAGCAAACATTTTTTTATATACCTATACTATAAATTTTATACCAAACAATAATACAATTACTACTTTCTTTTTAAACCATAATTAATATTCATAATTATGTAAAAATTAAAAAGAAACTTTGTAGAAAACAACTTGTTTTAAGTTTTTATATATTTTTTGTGTGTTTCTGCCATCACGGTTTCGGGCAGTAAAAGTCCTATTTGGGTAGGCACTACATCTATAATTAGTATTTAAATAAAATGTAAAAGTGTATGTGTTTTAAATTTACAAGCACTCATTATTTTTTGTTATTGTACAATATTATTACATTAAAATATATTCCTATAAATATAATATAATATATTATATTATGTATATGTTACGGTCAAAGTGTATAATTGGGTTTTGTAGTACAATGCCCAATTTCAATAGACAATGTGGACAATTATACACATTGCCCGGGCATTGCACAGAATGGCACAGTGGGAAATTACAATTAATTAATTAAAATATATAAAACAATTTTTGTTATCTTAATAATTTACAATAATTTATTTTATGAATATTAACTATTTTTAAATATTTTTTTTTCAATTTAAGCTATAATGACATTTAGAAGTACATAGTTTACCTGCAGCCCTACACTTACATTTAATTGTCTTACATTGCTGTTCACAGTTACACCGGTCATATCCTTGACCGCCAAGATTTGAAAATTTTTCTCTAGGCATTCTGCACGTTTATGTGTTAATGGTTTAAGACTTTAAGTAAAACATATTTCGTTATAATATATATATAGTATTTAAAAATTATATTAGAAATAGTGGATGACATCGACTCCATTCGAAAAGAAGCCGGGCCAATCTTCGGGTAACCTTCTTCCAATCTGCTATATAACACGGATGGATACTGGGCGTCTGGGCAGGTTAGCAGTTTCCATCCAGTCTAACAACCTATGATTAGCAGCCAAGTCAGCATAAAAATCTTCATTATCAATATGATACACTAGTGAATCTATAAAAATAATTATATTAAATTATTAATTAATATAATATATACATGAGAAAAATTTAAATATATTTACCTGTATATCAGTATACATAAACTTAATCTTGTCCCCATATAGTATCCCTACATCACGTTATAGTGATAGTCATACATTTGTGTCTTGGAAACATCGAGCACACAAAATACTAAACAAAATATAATAAATGTGTTAGTAAATGTTTAACACAAAAATGTGTATAAGTGTATATTTACCAATATAGATAAAGGTTTATCAAATGTAATAATCTTATTCTCTAGAGCGACTTCGTTAATTTTTCACTGTAATTGGTACAGCGTTTAAGAGTGGACTTATTAATTAACTTCTGGTATAGCCCTTGTATAGCCCAATATAGGTAAACAAGGGAGAAAAAAATAAAAAAAATCACACTACACTATATAATATTATGTAGGTTTTTTTATTTTTTAGAAATCTATGAATTTCTTTTTTAAGCCTGTGTGCAATTAATATAGTATTTTGTGGTTTTCAGTTCAAATGGGTCTTCTCTTGTTCATTTTTACATACATTTTTTAGAGCCATGCCAGCACATGAACAATATTCTTGCGGATTTAGTTTAGGAGAAAAGTTCCGGATAACATATATGATAATATTTGTACGAAGAAAAGTGTTAAGCTGAAGATTTTGCTTAAATATCATTAAAATATAATGTATCTGCTGTACAAAAATGTATACTGTTTTGTAATGGTGTTTAGGTTAATGTATTAGATGGTGCTGATCCAATACTGCTAAAAATAAATCCAAGCACCGCAAGTACTTTTAAATTTACCAATGGCTAAAATGTAGAAATATTTTATTTATTGTTTATTTACACGTTTAGTTAAATAAAGGTGACAAAACAGATCAAAAGGTATAAATGTATAATACAGGCATTAAACTTCTTATAAAAATAATAATTAAAAAAAAACATTTATAATTTCTACTTATTTACATACATTTACATATTTACATTAGAGTCAATTACTGTTTTTGATAAAATATATGCTACCAACAAAGTTTTGGTTTTATTTCTATAAGCCAAGTATTCAAACGTCATTTGTTTATTTTTTGGAAATATTTGCCTTCAAGTTAGATAAAGGTATTCATCTCGTTAATAACAATTAACCTCAGCTACGTTTGGCAGCTGATGTACAAAAATTTACTATTTTATAAAATTAAAATATACAATAATCCCACAAATATATAAATAAATATTACAAATAAAACATTTTTAAAAAACAAACAAAAAAATTTTTTTGAACTTAATATTTATATAAATTATAATTAAGGTAATACAATTTTTCTTATTCATAGATAAAAACAATAAAATAAAATATGAAATTCTTAAAATACTACTTATGAAATCAATTTCCATTTTCAATTTGCAAAAATATTTTTTGTTAAATACAATTTCCCTGGGTGATTGATTTACCCGACTTAAAAATTAAATCATATCATTTCATTGTACAGCAAGTTGTCTATATTATTCTATTGATCCGATCTTTGATTACTGTACATAGTTTGTTGGCTAATATTATTACTTTTTATTTAACTCTATATAGGATGTAGATGATTTTTATTTATTGTCATTTTGATATATCAATAAAATAATTTTTTTACATTATTTAAATTGAAATTTCATCTATTAAAACGAAAAAATGGAAATAGTGACTTCTTGGATAATGGATATTTCCATTCTTATAAATAATTATTTTGTATTCAAACCTAGTTTACTAACTTAAGACTTATAATGTTTGAACTAGAATTAAGTGATTTGATTTAATTTTGTATAATAATGCAAAATGACTTATGATTCTTATGATCGAAAGATTCACTGAATCAGTTTATCAAAGTAAACATGTCCTATCTTGACTACTCAACAATGTATTCTTCAGTTCATACATCTTAAGTTATATTTTGTTAATTTAATCTACAGTTAAATGTTTTTTTCTTGTATTGAATGACAAACCTTAACCCAAAAATATGTATAATTATATTTTCAATTTCAGCTATATAATTTTTTTTAATACAGATATAAAATCACAGTTTTTAATAATTTATCCATTATTTATGTGTCTATATCGTGTAACTAATGTACCTACTACCTTAATACCTTATACATAAAATATACACAGATTTTAACAAGTAAATGCAATTTTTACCTTTTATATGACATAAATTAGAAAACATTTACAACTGATATTAATATATGTACGTTTTGGAAACGGCCTATGCCCTATATAACAAAAAATATTACGAATAATTGTTGTTGAACAAATAATTTAAATCATTAAACCGTATTCAGCATTAACTGTTACATCTTAATGTTATTGGAAATGTATATCAATTGGATCATGTGTTACTATATCAGCATGGTATTGTCATTGGTATATAAAGGAGTATACATTTCTTATTGTCAATAGTCAATATTGTTTATAGTTCATACCACTTACAAGTTAGAACTATTACATTATTACACTACAAACCTAAATTTACTTTGTTTGAAACAGCCCTCTTATACTTTATCCATTTTTGTTTTCATACGACATGTGACATGTGACTTATGATTTACGTAATTTAACAACTTTTTTGGCATTAACTAATTCAAATTGGTCTAGTAAATTCATGTGTACAACTAACAAACCTAAAATGTTTATGTTTTTTTTTAAAATATTAACTATTTTAAGAAATATCCACAGCGACCTCTGCAAAGTATAAACTATACTTGTAGGTACCTGGTACTTAACATGTAGGGTAAGTTATTAAATAAAACAATAATTATAGGTAGGTACGAAGGAAGCTATACATTTTTTGACTTTGTCATACGGTTTTTTTCTCCCGTCACTTACCTTTATGTGAAAGCCTTAGTTAGGTCAGCCGCCTACACGGCTGTATATAGTGTAGAAGTATAATAAAATCACACAATTTTTTACCAAATATACATCGGTGATTGCACACTATTATAGAATAATATTGTTTAATAACACATTAATGTCGGGCCTAGAGAGAATATTATAGGCTCGATTAAAGTATCCATTTTTTTTATTACTTTTGTATTTCAAAGCCTAATATTGAATTTTTTTCAAGTCTCGACACTTCTAGTGTTTTATGTTAAGTTATAGTTTAACCTTTAAGACTAATAATAATATTGTTAGATGCCGGACGTAAAAATTGACTCACGACAGTAGAGTATGTAAAAATCTAAATGGCCTATACGCAGAGTTCCGTGATCTACTGTTCTGCATTGTATAGATTTAAACACTCTCAATAATATTCTGTTTCGGAATTTGAAATAAAAAGTGTATCGTATAATCCAAAGAAGTCAAAAACTCAAAAACTGATGACAATATTATATTATAATACCCATCATCTATGGCAAAAGCCGATCGTCGTCACTCACCGGTGACGATTCGCAATTCTAATAATTTCATCGAACAAAAGAGAAATGTGTATGGCAACAATAAACATTTACTCACATATTTCATTCTACTCTAGTAATTTTTATAAAAATCTCGATTTTTTCAATTCGAATTTAGATGAAGAAAGAAGTTCCTCGATATGGCGTCTGCACTTAAGGTATGGCGCCTTGCAGCTATGTATTACCCGAAGAGTCGATGTATACGTAAGTTTGATTACTTATACTTTTGGGGCTTAAATATTTTACTTTTTAGTCTTAAAATTAAAATTTGATTTGCTACCCGGGTGAAGTAGGGGCATATTTTTTATTCCCGAGCGCGCAACACAAAAAAATACGGTATCACAAACGACGACGGCATATCCAGGTCGCAGAATAATAACGTATTTATAAAATTAAATAAATATAAACAGTGTTGTACATATTAGTCATATTACAGTAGTACAGTACACGGTAGTTTTTATGTCCCGCAAAATTCAACAATTTTAATTTTTAGTTTATATAAATATTAAGTAATATATTATGAATATTACTTTGCCGTCGGCTTTTAATCGAACCGTGAATTAAAGCGACGCCGTCGTACATCAAACATCAAACTATTTAATAAAGCTGGGAAATATACCTAACCAATGCACTCAAAATGAATACATAAAATATTAATTATTAATTTCGTGCTCGACAGTATTCGGAGAAAAGATTTAACTTGGAATTTTCGGTATACGGTAAATGTGATGCATTAGGCACTGAATACCTTTATGTTAAATCTAAAAAGTAGTAATCACATTTATTACAATACGATTTGTATTTAATAACTCATAAATAAATATGCTTGTGCTTCGAATATTTTAACACCACCTTTATCAATTATTAAATTAAAAATTGAAATAATAGGTACTTTATAAATTGTTGTTATTTAAATTTGAAAATTATAAACTATTTTGGTTATTGTTATACCATCATTATCTTAATGATCAAATCTCAAACACGGACCTTCTTGATATAAAAATTTGTTATGTACCATATATCTATGGTTTTATCATATTGACGTAGTATAAATTATAATGCAATCCGTGGCGATTGTCGAAGTAGTTGCAAAGACGCAATCGATCTAAAATTTCAATTANTTGCAAAGACGCAATCGGTCTAAAATTTCAATTATTAGCAAAGCAGAGATGGACAAGAAACATGAAGCGATCCGTACGGTTTTTTTCTTCATAATAAATCTCAATGTTTCAGACTTAAGTTCAGTCGAGGGCATCTGATTTATTCCGCAGTGCACACACAATAATCAGGGATTCCGCCGAAGACCGAAAGTGTCGATGTTTCAAGTAATTAATTTTGGTTTCATATTTTTTTGGTTGTTAAATTTACTTTTTATACTTCAAATAAAAATTTAATTTCATGAAAAATATGCTACCCCTATGTAGACACATATTTTATTTCTGAGGGTAAATGCATAAAATAAGAGAGATCAAAATTAATAATATACACACGCCGCTCGTCGTCATCGTTTTTCTGCTCCCTGTTTGTAGGGTAATTTCATAATTATAACTTATTTTTAACGAGTTGAAATAGACATACATTATATGGTTTAATTTAGAATTACCCGTTATAAGTGATTACTCATAAGACACAATTTTAATTTAAAACTTATAATTTTTTTTTAATCCAAAGTTAGCCGTTGCATTACACTATTAATTTAGTGTTACATATATTTCATTGTTCTATTATATATTAATATTACAATTACATTATATTATAGTTGTATCTAAAAAACAAAAATGTTCACGGAATGGTAAACTCACTATCCTAACCAGTAATCATCCCGTACAGGTGATTATGAAAAATATACTTTTATACTAGCATAGGTATCTTTATATAATATTGTGTGCATAACAATCCTAATATATTGACATAGGCGTTCAAATATCCTAACTTTTTGTAGTTATTCAAACCTAGGTGTGTACCTACGAGTTCAAAAATTAAAGTTATTTCAATTTTAACTCTTTAACTTCTTTAAGACTTCGAGCGGAGCGATGAATGTATTGATTTTCCAATTTATTTTTTAAAGTTTTTTTGTTAATGTCTTTCCGCTATTTTGGGAGAGTAAAAGTGCTTCGATTTTCTTCAACAGCATCTTTTCTGTTAGAAATGTGAATAGTATCGGTACTTCGTGTAGTCGAAAGTAAAAAATTCTCAATAGTTTTCAAAAGCGGCAGGAAAAACAAACAAAAAATTAAGGAAAAAAAGTGAATTTTTACAGAAACCGGGTTTTGACCAATTCGATTTAGGTTTTTGATGTAACTCTCAAATAAAAAAATCGTAGACCGTAGACCGAGAATTTTTACTGAATATTTATTACGGCGTTTTCCATAAACCATACAATTTTGACAACACATTTTTATATCCGTTTGAATTTTGAATTTTGACAAAATTAGTTTAAGTCACGAAAATGTGCAAAATATTTTGAGTTAGAAATTCATACAAATTTTTCGTTTTATATCTAAGTTTTTAAAACTTAATACAAATTCCTTATAAGGTTGTCAAACCTTTATCAAAAAAAAAACAAATTCTACCGGAAAGTCAAATTAAATTTTTATAAACATTTGAAGTTGACATTATGACAACATTTAATATTCACTCCATTTCTCATATAGTGATTTTTACTTATTTTATTATAATGGAACAACCAATAATTGCAGATATTTGAAATTCACATCATTTGTTCATATTTTCAATTCATATACTTCATACAATTTTCAAATTATTTTGACTAGTTTTGAGCTGTTAACACACAATTTGAATTTTGAATTTTTTTAGTTTATTTAGTTTATTTTACTATAATTGTTAATAAAATTGTATTTGTTGGGCAAAAAAGCTTGAAAAATTCAATACAATTCTCCTGATGGATATTTAAAATATTAGTTAAAAACTATTTAAAATAAATAAACAAGATATTTGTAATGAGCATTTAAAGTTTAAATTTTAACAAAATCCACATCATTTAAAATATACAAATAATTTTATAATTTAAAATTTTTGAAATATTCAACTTTTGTAGGTTAGGGTTGAAAATTCAAAACAAAGTTCCAAGCAAGTAGGTTAGGTTAGGTTAATTTATTGCAATAATTATTTATTTTCTTAACACAATATTTCAGGAATTAATATATTATAAATTAATTAATAATAAAAATAATTGATTTAAACGATATTTATAAAATATTGAAATAAAATAAACACACTTGCTAATCAGTAATGTTAACTAGTCCCTGAGTATTATACTATTATTAAAATAAAAATGAACAAATAGCAGAGTTCTAGTAGATAGCTAACTAGCCGTGCATATAGTGAAAAAATATGACTTTCGTAAGGTATAAAACTTATACGTTATTAAATAAAATAGTTAAGACACAAATTAACATATAATAACTACGTATAGGTAAGATAAAAGCTACAACTTAAAGAGATTATTTTAGCTATATAATATCTGTAATTTCTAATAACAAATAGCTCATACGTATATTGTTGAACATTTTACTATTTAGGCTGCGTTTTTTTCAGAGATGGTATTCGTCAGTGAAAATTTGCCAATTTTGAATACAATGTCATACTATGCAGTGTGAACTGTGTTGACGTGAGTGTTTCAAAGACTTAGTTGTATAGCAGAAAACATGTGGTATGTACTTTTTATTTATCAGTAGATTTATTTAATATTGTTAAATGATCAGAGTTTGTATTGCCCCCAACTTTTCGATTTAATTGTGTTGTAACTACTGGTATAACGCTATTCCGGCTATCAATAAAACTATGATAAAAATTATGAAATTGGTCAGGTATGAAATTTATTTTATTTTTTGTATTAAATTTGTTTTTGTAATATTTAAATATTTTCACCGATTATCAGGTACGATGACCTGTAGGCGCTATAGAGACTGTGTGTGTGTGTGAGAAAGAAAGAGAGGTAGTGAGATGGAAAAAGGGGGGGGGAATAGAGAGAGAGAGAGTAAGAGAGAAAGACTGAGTGAGAAAAAGTGGGTGGGGAGAGAGAAGGGAGAGCGAGTGAGACTTGTAGGGAGGGTGAATAGGAAGTGTGGAGGTAGAATAGTTATGTTAACAATGTCGAATACTTAGGAAAAGTTCTTGAATGGCCTTTGCTAGACCAATCAGCTGAAAAACTACCTAGTGATTGGTTGAAAACCTTTACTTGTGGGATAGAATAAAAAGATCGGTAGAGGATGTCAGAGCACCGATTGTTTGCTCTCAGTATCCCACGCACAACAAAGCAAATAATGTATCAGAACCAACCATATATTGTTACTTTAATAATGGTTGGTTCTGCTAAACATAAATTTGCTTTGTCGCGCGTGGGACATAAAGAGCAAACAAATGGTGCGTGGACATCCTCTCAATAGTGTCATCAAGTTGAACAAAAAATTTCGAAAAGACGTATTTCTATGTCAAATCATGGGTTTTTAATCATTAAAAATTCGCAAAAAATAAAAATTGAAATTAAGTTTAAAAGTAATAGACAATAGAGAATATTTGAATGCGAAGTTTAAAATAATAAAATAAACTTTTAAAAAAAAGGAAAAATGCTTATCAGTAGTCAAATCGCATACCAATGCTCCGCCTTTGTTCGTACAAATACGCATATGTATGCTTTTTGAACCGCTGCATTTCGTCTGCTACTGCATTTTAACATGAATGAACCTGCGTAATCCACTCCACAGTTTTCAAAGCACCTACTTGAACGGTCAGCTTGGAGCGTTGGCAGATTAGGTACCTATAAAAAGCGACACATTTTTTGGCTGCGCTTTGAAACATGTTACGCACTGATCCACCGTTTGCCAACCTACCACCTGCGCGCACAAATCCGTTGCCGTCTATAAATGGGTTTAACTTATTTATTTTGCTTTTTACTAACAAATTACGATTATTTTTTAACTCTTCAATTTCTATTGAGAAATGTGCTCGTTGTATGTATAGATTTTATAATAATTTTTGTCTCCGCTGAGATCTCGTTTGCATTCAGTGGCCCCATTATTCGAG